GTGCAGTGGCGCGATCTCAGCTCACTGCAACCTCTGCCTCCTGGGTTCTAGCAATTCTCCTGCCTCAGCCTCCCGAGTAGCTGGGACTACAGGCACACGCGGCCATGCCCGGTTAATTTTTTGTATTTTAGTAGAGAGATGGTTTCACCATGTTGTTCAGGCTTGTTCTCAAACTCCTGAGCTGAGGTGATCCACCCTCCTCAGCCTCCCAAAGTGCTAGGATTACAGGTGTGAGCCACTGCACCCTGCCGACCACAAAACTTTTGTTAGCAGAAACCACAGAGCTTTCCCTTGTTTTCCTTAGTGATCAAAAGGTCGTTGTAAAGACTAAACACGTTACTGTCTATGTAGTATTTAACATATAGGTTATAGTGCATTATATTCGTGTTAGCTACTATTATAAAAATACAAAAGAAGGAAAGGTTTTTCCAACCTGGGTGATCAGGAAATAGTTCATGGAGACGTTGTGATTGAGTTGTCCTCTAAAGATAGATGGGATAGCCACAGATAGAGGGAGGCGCTACATGGAAGAACTGAAGAGCCAGTGCAGAGATGGCACAGGTTTGGGAAAACACTGGTTTTTTGTACCTTTAGTTGAGGTTGCTTAGTTGAAGTTGAGGAGATGGGATATCAGGACAGACAGGTCAGCATTGGTTCCGATAGTATCTTGAATGCTATGCTAAAGAATTTGGGTTTTATGCTGCAGTAAGAAGGGAGCTCACTTACATTCTTAGGCAGTGATAGGATCAGAGCTGTGTGTTTTAGGCATGTACTTTGGTGGTGATATTAAGGAAGGATATCAATAAAGATGATTTTTAATACTCTGAGAGGAGTGTTGGGAACTTGAACTTGAGCAGCCGCAGTGGGAATCAAAAAGGAAAACTAGAACAAACACCGTGAGAGCCTACTGTATACAGGGTTTCTGCGTTAGGTGCCTTAATAACATCCCTTTCATAACATATTAGAAGACTGAGACTCAGCTTCTAAGCAGTTTGCTCAGAGCTCCACAACTGCTAATGACGGAATTCCAAATCAGACTTCTTTTTTTTTTGAGATAGAGTTTTGCTTTTGTTGCCCAGGCTGGAGTGCAGTGGCGCAATCTCGGCTCTCTGCAACCTCTGCCTCTCAGGTTCAAGTGATTCTCCTGCCTCAGGTTCCTGAGTAGCTGGGATTACAGGGACACACCACCATGCCTGGCTAATTTTTGTATTTTTAGTAGAGATAGGGTTTCACCATGTTTGCTAGGCCGGTCTCAAACTCATGACTTCTGGTGATCCACCCACCTTGGCCTCCCAAAGTGCTGCGATTATAGGCATAATCACCACACCCGGCACAAATCAGACTTCTTTAATGCTGAAGGCCACACTTTTTCCCACGACATAGCACTGCTTACTGATCTAAATAGATTTCACAACTGGCTTGGTAGTCTGACCTTTGGTGTCAAGCTGTGCTTCCTTCTACTACTCCTATCCTGGGAGAAGTATAAGGCTCATTTTCTTTGGTTCTTTTACACGTAAAGCTTACAAATGATAATATCTGTGTTTTGACAGTTTGTGCTAAAGATGCTGTGAGCAGTACTAGTAACGCTTTGCAATTTGTTTAAATCTCTTCCCAGGTTCTGCGGCATGAGGAATTTGAAGAAGGCTGCAAAGCTGCCTGTAATGGGTATGATACCTTGTTTCTTAAAATTTCCCTTAGGGTCTGAATACACCTGCATAACAGAAGACGGTTTCTTAAAGTGGGTACAAAGCAGTGGACTTAATGAGGCAGTAAACTAGGGAGGCAACTTCAGGAACACTGGGAACACATACTCTGTTTCTCTGTGGCACACCAAGCCATTCTCCAGCTCTCTAGTACCAGCTGGCTGCCCTGTTATTTAATCCGATTCCGACTCTACCTGGAGTTAGTGTCAGATCCCACAAGTTCAGGGCTCGGTCCCAGAAGGTTTCCCCCACTTCAGGTGCTCATTCCAAGTCTGGATCTCAGTATTTCTGATGACCAGCTACAAGTTGGGGCTTCCCACCCTGCTTCCTCAGGTTTGATAATCTGCTACAATGACTCATGCAACTAAGGGAAACACTGGAAACACTTACTTACATTTACTGGTTTATTGTAAAGGATATGTGTCAGAAACGGCTAGACAGAAGAGATACTTAGCGCAAGGCAAGGAGAGTGGGCTGCGAGGCTTCTGTGCTCTTCCCGCCTGGGGCTTCTGTGCACTTCCCGCCTGGGGCTTCCCTGCTCTTCCCGGGGCTTTCGTGCACTTCCCAGGGCTTCCCTGCTCTTCCTGGTCAGCCTCCCCTCCCAGCACCTCCATGTGTTCAGCATCCTAGAAGCTCATCAAGTCTTGTTGTTCAAGCCTAAGAGAGTCCAGTCTCCATCCCCTTGCTTCCCAGACTGAAAGTTCCAGTCCTATAATCATTTGTCTTTCTGATGACCAGCCCCAGCTTGAGTCTATATAGAGGCCTCACTCTGAGTCACCTCATTAGCATAAACTCAGGTGTGATTGAAAGGGGTTCATGATGAAGAACAAAAGATATTCCTGTGAGGAAATTCCAGAGGTTTGGGGAGCTCTGAGACAGGAACCAGGGGCAGTGAACAAATATATTTCATATGATACCACAGATGGAAATAAATAGATTCTCTGGGTGAAGGAGCGACTTTCGAGTATCTTTTTTTTTTTTTCTGAGACAGAGTCTCACTCTGTCGCTCAGGCTGGAGTGCAGTGGTACAGTCTTGGCTCACTGCAACCTCTGTCTCCCGGGTTCAAGCAATTCTCCTGCCTCAGCCTCCCTAGTAGGTGGGATTACAGGTGTGTGCCACTACGACCCAGCCAATTTTTGTATTTTTAGTAGAGACAGGGTTTCACCATGTTGGCCAGGCGGGTCTCAAACTCCTGACCTCAGGTGATCCACCCGCCCATCTCAGCTTCCCAAAGTGCAGGGGTTACAGGC